ATTTCAAAAACTTGGCCGTATTCTATCTATTTTCAGAGGAAATTTAGCTATGCCTTTGATATTTTAACCGGATATTTTAACCAGATATGTTATTTATATTTAATCGATACTTTTATGTCAGGTGTCGATACTTTCGATAGGTTATTTACCTATTTCTTTTAAATGTGTCGATAATTTCTTACGTATATTTATTAAAGTATCGATACATTCAACATATCTGGTAGCGCTTTACCGGTTTTGTCATAATGAAACCGGTTTTATCATATTTTTACCTGTTATATTGTTATGTATAGATACATGTTTATAAAGTATCGATACTTTATAGGCGCTATTACTGCTTTTCTTTTAATTTCCAAAAGTATCGATACTTATTTGAATGGTATCGATACCTTAAACATATTCAGTAGCTCTTCACCGGTTTTGTAATATTGAACCCGATTTTGTCATATTTTTACATGATAAATTGTTATGTATCGATACATATTTTTAAAGTAAAAATACTTTTATAGGCGCTATTATTTCTTTTCTTTTAAATTCCAAAAGTATCGATACTTATTTGAATGAAACTGATACCTTCAACATATCCGATAGTGCTTTACTTGTTTTTTCATATTGAACCCGGTTTTGTCATATTTTCACCTGATATATTGTTATGTATCGATACATATTTTAATAGTATCGATACGTACCGACAAGCTAAGTTTGCCGGTTGCCAAATTTTTTAATATTTCTTCATAATTTCCGCCTACAACATTATTATTACTCAATATTTCCGATAACGCTAAACCGATTTTATTAAGTATCTTATTATGTTTCCGGTAATACCGTATTTTAGCCATATATTAGTCCACCTTTCCTAAAACAACCCTGACTTTTGATAAGACATTACACTTTCTACTAAGAGGACTTTCGATAAGACATTTTTGGTTCAATACTATTTTGTTCAAATTGGTTAAATTGAATATTATTTGTAAAAAAATTTATTCAAAACAAAATTTAATACTATTTTAATACTTATTTTTAAATGAATACTATTCCTATGAAATCATCAATATTAAGCCTTAAACCATTGATTAATTGATTTATTAACACTTTCCGATTAATCTACTACGTAAGATAAAGACGCTTTCGATTAAGATGACTGTTGATATGACATTGCACTTTCGACTTAAGTAGACTTTTCACAAGACATTTTTTAATTCAACACGTCTTTGTTCAAATTGGTTAAACTGAATATTATTTCTCTCCCTACCCGTAAGTAGGGGTGCACAAAAAATCCGAATATCCGATTTTGCGAAAAAAATATCCGAAATCGGATTTGGGAAAAACCGGTTTTTTTTTAACCGGATCGGATTTTTTTTAACCGGTTATTTTAACCGGTTTGGAGAAAAAAACCTAGACCGGTTTTTTTACCGGATAAAAAACCGGTTTGAAAAAAATCGGTTAAAAAACCGATTTTTATCCGGAAAAAAAAACCCGGTCTGGGTTTAAAAAACTAGCCGTTAAGATAGCCGTTGGGGGGGTTTTGTGACCGTTTTTGACCATTTTTTTTCTTTAAAAAATTACCATTTTACCACCCTAAACATGTATAAATAGATTGGGGATGTATTTGGTTGATTACAACTTTCTCAAATCTTATTACACAACACTTAAACATCTCTCAAATCTTATTTTTGTAATTTTTTGTTCATCATGAGTAACACGGCTGAATCTTCCGTCAGGGGAAACCTTGAAATCGTGAGAGTGATCGAACACACTCGAAACAAAGATATTTGGGATCACTACGATTTATGTGAGATGTCAAATGGCTCGAGGAGGGCGCGTTGTAAACTTTGTCTAAAGTTTCTTGCATCGGAAGGAAACACAACGTTGAAGAACCATTTGACAAAATCATGCAAGGCACTTCGCTCAAGATCGGATCCTAGTCAATCGAATCTTACACCGCAAGGTGGTGTTTTTGTTTACGACAACGAAAAATTAAACGAAAAATTACGAGAAGCGTTTACAAAGTTCGTGATTACAAAAGCATTGTCGTTCGACCACTTTGATGATGAAGATTTCACGACAACAATTCAACAACTAATGCAACCACGTTATACTCAAGTAAGTCGTACTACCCTTAGAAGAGATGCTATAAAAATGTGGCGTACGGCGAGGGAAAAAATGATTTTAGGATTCCAAGAACACCGTTATGGTGTGTCGCTTACATGTGACGTTTGGAGTTCCCCTCATAATACCGGAAATTCTTTTTTAGCCGTTATCACATTGGTTAGATCAAGATAATTGGCAAATGATGAAAAGAACAATCGCGTTTGAATTATTCGGTGAGCCGCATACCGGTGCTAATTTATTTATACTTTTAAAAAGGGTAATTTGTCTTTATAAATTAGAAAATAAAGTTTTTTCTATATCCTTTGATAATGCATCGAATAATACAAACGCGGTTCCAAGATTGAAAATATTACTTTCACCGATTTTATACGGTGCGTTTTTTCATACCCGTTGCGTTGCACACATAATTAATTTATCCGTGCAAGCCGGTTTGGAGGTTATTGAGCCGATTAGATTAGAATTTAAAACAATGATAAAATCGGTTCTTTGTAACAACAACAAAAGACTAAATGATTATAAACGATTTTGTAAGTCCGTTAATAAAAAAGTTTTGGGTCCTAATTTGGATTGTCCAACTCGTTGGGACTCAACTTGGATGATGATGCATACTGCCTTAAGGCAAAGGGAAACATTGCAAACATTTCACGATCGGCTTTTCGAGAGGGGTCATGTCCCAAACATTTATCCGGGTTCGAGTTGGGAAACTATAGCCAAAATAACCGATTTGCTTGAGGTTTTTAAAAATGCAACAACTTTTTTATCCGGTGTTTATTACCCTACTAGCCCGTTGGTTCTTAATCAAATATTTTTGTTGGCTACCCGACTAAATGACTTTGAATTTGAAACCGAAGTTTTTCAAGAAATTGACTTTGCAATGAAGGAAAAACTTTTAAAATATTTTAAGGAGATTCCCTCCATTTTTACTTGTGCCGCCGCTTTAAACCCAACGTTAAATGTTGGTGGGGTTGAAACACTAATTGAACAAATTGCGTTTGCTTTTAATCTAACCGATGATGAACCCAACTTTGTCCAAAACCAAATAAATTATTTTAACAAATGTTTTCGAGACATGTTTGCAATTTATTTAACTAAATACAGATCAAGTAGTGTAATACACGATCAAATGAGAATGAATGCGGAATCATCTAGTAGACGTCCAAGTAACATAAATTTGAATCTTTTTAACACTCTTGTAAATTCCCAATCCAAACGATCACGTACTACCACCCCAAGTAGCGAGTTGGGAAATTACATGTCATGCGATTTTCTATCAAAAATGACATTTGAAGAGTTTGAAAGTTTGGATATTTTGGCTTGGTGGAAAGAAAAGGAAGCACAATTTCCGATTCTAGCCGCCATGGCCCGTGATTTACTAACCGTCCAAGCTTCTACGGTAGCTTCGGAATCCGCTTTTTCTGTTAGTGGCAGGGTTATATCGCAACGGAGATCAAGACTAAGTCCCGAGTCGGTGAAAGTATGCATTTGTTTAAAGGATTATTTGGATGGAGCGGCTCGTAAGCAACATATCACCACCCTAGAAGATGCAATTGATGCCGATTTGGAAGCAAACTTACACATTGAAGAAGTCGAACTTGGAATATCCCCTCCAAACGAAGAAGGCGAAGATGATGAAGAAGAGATGGCAATGTAGTTTATTTTTAAACTTTATTTCAATTATCGTAAACTTTGTTTCAATTATCGAACTTGAAGTTTTTAAGTATTTGAATTTATCGAACTTGGAAGTTTTTAAGTATTTGAATTTATCAAACTTAGAAGTATTTAAGTATTTCAATTATGTTGAGTTAATTAAGTATTTCAATTAAGTATTTGAATTTATCGAACTTGAGGTTTGATGCTTTCTCTTTGATTATTCTAGTTGCTTGATGTTTCTTGTCTTTGATCAATGGCTTCTAAGCTTGCTTAAATACACCTTGAATCACTTCTGAACGTTGGGGATGATTAGTGAAGATCATATAGCCGTTTTAGTGTGAAAACAATTAATAAAACAGTTTGGAGCGTGGGGAGAATCGGTACCCCCTATGGGGAATCGGTTCCCTAAGTGTAAAATTCAAATATTTCGACCGTTTGAACAGGGGGGATCGGTACCCCTATGGGGGAATCGGTTCCCTCCGAGCATTCTGGAAATCTCGAAGCCAAACCATTCAGGGGGGAATCGGTACCCCCTTGGTGGGGAATCGGTTCCCTCTGAGCAATCTGAAATTTTTGACTTTGAAATGATTCAAAATACTTTGAAAGATTATTTTGAAATTGTTTTAAGATTAAAACTTAATTTTACACTTAAGTAAGAATTAAAAATGATTTTTGAAATATTTAGAGTAATGTTTTGATATTTGAATAATTATATCGAATATACTTAGAAAATCATTTGGAAAATCTTAAAATTCATTTAACTTAATTTGTTATATCGAAATATCAAAATATTTTCAACAAATTATCGTAAACTTTGTTACAATTGATGACGATGTAATTTTAATAATATTAAAATCGGTTTTTTTATAACCGGTTTTTTAAAAAACCGGTTTTTTTAAAACCGAAACCGGTTACGCCGGTTAGGATATCCGGCCCTCAAACCGGTTAGAAACCAAACCGGTTATTTTATAAACCTGTTTTTTTTCTATGGGAAAAAACCGGATCGGATAAAAACCGATCCAGATCGGATTGAAATCCGACAAATGTGCAACCCTACCCGTAGGTAGAAATTGTTAAAAAAAGTTAATAATTATTTTTAAATGAATACTATTCCTATAAAATTGTCAATATTACAGTCTTATGGCCCAAGCATGTTTTAATGCAACCCTATTGTTTCTATTCTACTAGGAAAAATCAAGACATACCTATTGTTTAGCAAGCCGATTCATGACATATAATCTTAAAGGAAACCTTATCTCAATGATAAAAGTTTTAAATATAATCAACAAAAACTTTGTAATTCCTCAAGATAAAATGTCAGTATTTCATCAACTAATCTCAAATAAAAGTACCCTACAACTCAATTCAACAGAGGAAAGAACTGGTTACCAAGATAATATAACTATTATATATAAACTTTAGAAGTATGAAAATGTGACACTGAATTGAAAAAAAAAGAGAAATTATAAAACAAAAATGACATCCAAAAGTTCTATGCACATATAGGTATAACATTGCTAATAGAACTGATGAGAGTAGAATCATAAGTAAATGCACAAGAATTTATCTCGGCCTTTCTTGTTGAGAACGAATAGTGTATGTATCTTCAACGTGTCGCGTTAGGAGTGAAATACCATAATGTGAGGCACTAGAGGCAGCATAATAGGAAGTCACAGTGAGTTGAGTAAACTTTGGAAGTGCATAACCTGCAAAGTCACATCAATGGCAAATTAAACTCTTATAATAGATTACACCAATACAGAAAAAAAGTTGGAAATCATTCACAATACATTCTAGTTGTCAAGTTTAGTGCTAATCTATAGTCATTCAAGTGAAATGCACTTGTAAACGCAGTCAAATTAAATCCATAAGACATGAAGCTTGGGCAAAGTTGACTCGTACTCTCAGATTTCACGAAAAAACAAATAGATAACATTTTTTTTATTGAAATAGAGTAGGCCTCATTAAAAAAAACCCTTCATAACCTCCATGTAACAACAGTAACGTGAAGGACATTGGAATGAGCAAAAGAGTGCCTAAGAATTATTAATATAAGAATAATACAAAGCCAGATCCTTACAAACTTCTGTTGCAACATCACTTAAAAACCAAACTAACTCCACTAATACAACCAACACAGAAACCTAAACACACAACCTATTAATCAACCTATTCCTTCTTTAGCTAATTTATCCGATTCCCAATTAGCAGCTCTCAAAATATGCCTAATAATAATATCTTTACTATCCACTAGGGAAGCAATATCTTTCACCAAAGACTGAAACATAGGTGTACATATATCCGGATTTTTTATCCACTTCAAAGCAGTAAGGGATCCGATTCGAGGATAATCCTTGGAATTGGAACCAAAACTACATCCTCCATAAACAACATCCCTCTTTTGATAGTCATTAACTCTGCAAGTATAGGAGGACCACTCCCAATCCTCTCAGAAAACGAACCGAGCAACAAACCTTCAGAATCCCTTATCAAACCACCTATGCCTCCTTTATCCCACCCCTTAGACATCGCACCAGCTACATTTAATTTTACAAACCCTGAAGGAAGAGGAACCCAACACGAGGAGGAAGTACAACCCTTCTTTCTTCCCACAAAATCTACTAGTCTAATATCACCCACTAAGGAATCAAAATGAATCTGCACATCTTTGAATCTCACCACAAACCATGAAGCAATTCTAAAACGAACAAGGAATAACAACAACGTACCATCCACCTTCCCTTTCTCAAAAATTATTTCATTTCTACACTTCCAAACCGACAACAACACCACCCTTGGAATGAATTTCCAAATAATGGAGCTCGGAACTAGATCATCCCAAACTGTGATGAATGCAAACAAACTCTGAGGAACCACAAAGGAGACATTCCAAGAAATCAAGAATCTATTCCACAGACCCCATACCACCTCACAATGCAAGAAAAGATGAGAAACCGACTCCGCACACTTACCACACAACGGACAGAACGAGTCATCAATAACTATCACTCCTCGCTTCAACAGTTCCTCTCTAACTGCCACTCTGTGATGTACAACTTGCCAAACAAATGTTTCCACACGGGGCGGAGCAACTCCTACCCAAACAAGGTTGTCCCAAGTACCTTCATTATTCTCATTACCAACCCAATCAAAATATCTCTTAATGCATGATTTAGCTATAAAACAACCCTCCCCATTCCCTGTCCATACCCAACAGTCTTCTTGAAAAGATGACAATGAGATATTATTCAACAAGGACATAAGCTGAAGCCATTGTTCCACCTCCCAATCTACCAAATTTCTTCTCAATTGAATATCCCACCAGTAGCCTGAAGAAGACTTCACCCGAAACTCTGCAACTTTACCCCCTTTATTATTCGAAAGAGCAAATATCCTAGGAAACCAATCTTTTAGCGGAATGGAACCCACCCAAGAATCCTGCCAAAAATGCACAGACTCTCCATTTCTCGTTTTCAAGCACACGTTTTTCCTTAGACAGTCCCTAAATTCATCACTAGAAAAGAAATTCTTTACAACTCCTTTCCAAATCCACGAAGCACGATTAGGCCAAGAATTCCCAATCATACACGAATTCGGGTCCACGTTGTACACGCAACATACAACCCTTTTCCACCATGATCCATTCTCTGAGGCAAATTTCCAGACCCATTTGCCCATAAGAGCCTTATTCAAAAAGACCAAATTTGGGATCCCTAAGCCCCCCAAACTCTTTGGCTTACACACCAAATTCTAGTTAACCCAATGTATATTCCTTTTATCTGTCGAACCCCCCAAAGGAAGGCAACCATAATAGAGTTTAACTTCTTGACCACGCCTACTAGAATTCGAAAAATAGAAAGAATGTAAGTGGGGAGAGAACACAAGACTGATTTCACCAAAACTACCCTTCCAGTTAAAGATAAGGAATTGCCCTTCCAGCTCCTGAATTCCTCTTGGTCTCCAACGGTAATCCTAAATACTCTGATGGAAGAGAACCCACTGAACAACCAATTTCCTTAGCCTAGCAAGCTAGCACATCCGACTCCACATTAATGCCAAAGATTCTACTCTTGAATAGATTTAACTACAAACCCACCAACAATTCAAAAATTATTAACACCCTTCTAATGTTCATCAAATCTCGAATAGAGGCCTTACTAAAAATAATGAGGTCATCCGCAAATTGCAATTGCGACAACATGAAGGAATGCTCCCCCAGCTCAAAGCCTGAAAACAGCCCCTTTTCCACTGCTTTAAACCAACATCAAATGTAGCAGCTCTCCAAACAAATAGATACATTGATGAACCTTTCGCAAAAATAAAAGCATCTTCGATAGATCTTAAAGGTTAAAAATTAAATTATTGGTGTGGTAAAGGGTGAAAACAGCAACAATCAAAAGAACTATGACTGAGAAAACAAATACGAAAGATGAAACTTTAGAAAACTCAGGTTTATAAAGACATCTAGTTTTTAATCTTAATTTAAAAAAATAATAACAATGTGGCTTTGTAAATACTGCAGAACTTATTTATACTAGGGTTGGAAATTAAGTTTTAATCATATCCCTAGATATAAAGCATAAATATAATCCTAGCCCAGTAGCCCTAGATTAACCCTAAGGATAAATCATAATTCTAGTCACTCATCTGTCTAAAGTTAATAAATAAAACTAAAATAATAAACTAACATAATAGTAAAAGCTCCTGAGTCATTCTCTCTAGCTTGAAAAAAATCGACTCCAGTTAGATAACTTTCATCACTTCAACATAAATTTCTTGGTCGAGAGCCCAATTGGTTGGTTCAGCAGTAAAATCATTCAGAGGGCACTTCATTCATAGATATGTCTACTTCCATATAAAGAACCTCAACACCATCACAGACCCTAGCTTTACCCACCCATTATTTTCCATTTCTTTTGTGTCAAGCTTCAGTAACAGATAGTTATACTTTTTTCTTTTGGAATATCACAAGTTGGACCTGCTTTTTCATGAGATCGTCCGCTGACAGCTAATGTACCATCTAAAATTCTCATCTACCTTATCCTGTGTGGTGGGAAGTCGGAGCATTCCTACTCTCACTCCCAGAAGGTTCAGCAATTTTAGATTTTGATGAGCAGGTTTCAGAAAATTACAGTATTTAAAGCAGCTGTAGAACAGCTACATGCTGTTAACAAATGTCTAGTTGTTTGTCCACCACAATCACGATCTGCAGAGATGCGCATGGTATTTCAACCACTCAGAGAAGGCCATATAGAGTCTTAAAAGTTGTCTTCCATTCATCAACGCTTTCCAGTCTATTGTGGTGATAATCACTCTTCAAATCAATCATTGCAATCATCATAGAACCAATCATTGATCAAGAATATCATCTAACCAATGTATCCCCACAAGAATATGAACCATAGCCAAAGGAATATCACACAAGGCTTTATCATCTAGTGCAATGAATTAAAAATGAAGAGCTAAGAAAATTGAAAGAAGATAACAAATATAATTGAATAAGAATAAATAAAAAAGTTATAGTATTTTCAAGCAGCCGACTTCATTAAAACTCTCTTAATGATGATAAATAAAAAACTGATGCTAATAACCCTATAGTAGAGTAATTATAATAAAACTCTTACTAAGAGTCTCTAGTAGAAACTAGAACAATTACTAAGAGTCCTATGTTAATCACATTAAAGAACAAAAACAGACTTGAAATAATTTAACTTGAAATATTAATAATAATAACACAAAACATAGACTTATAAACTAATGTAAAAAAACCTTGAAGTAATTAGATTAAATTTGATGCTCCTGTATCAAATATGATAAGGCAAGAAAGGTTTGAAACCGACTTAAGACACAAATACCAAATGCAAGAAACCACTTGCTAAATGCTTTGATTGATGATAGAAGCCCTTAACTTTTTAGCTCTTTTACTAGATAACTAACCTAATGACATGGGATTCACAGAAAGAAAAATTAAATTACTCGCCAAATATTGCGCGCCATACTTAAGGGCATAATGTGCAAGGGAAGTGCGCAGGTTAAAAGGGTATGTGAATAACAGAGCAATTCCTAAAAGAGGAAATGTTATTGACATATTAATAGAGTAATAGCATACTTGAATGGTTACCACTTATATGACGAAGGATTATAATTACCTTTTGGATGATAATATTTGAAACAAAGACTTATTGTAATATTTTCTACATTATATTAATCGATTTATCTGTTAATTTTTCATAAGTAATGTAACTTTTGCCAAATAAAAAGTTTTATGATCCATTTGCTATCGTTCTTTCCTACTTGCAGCAGATGGAAAAAACATGAATATGCAAATAGGAAGAATTTGTCGGCACTGCACCGTAAAACTAAAAGTCCCAGTGCTGACAGTGCATTGCAAATTAAACATGTTACATAACTTTAGATGTACTGAACATTCAAAAATAAGACCAGCATTTATTTACAGGATTTCATAAAGAATATGATATCCTCTGTGAAAATCTTTATCACTTCTCCTCAAAAGCTGCAGCAAATAGATTCAGGACCATAAAGAATGAAATATGTAAAAATGCAATAATGCTTTGTTTTCCAAACTGAGAACCAACTTATAGCTACTATACATCTAGAGTTAAAGAGCACACTTATACCTCCAAATGCTGCACTGGCGCCAGAAAACATTAGCAGCAGCGGAATCTGTCAACAAATAAGATAATAGAATTGAATTAAGTGAGATTTAGAAGATGCAAATAAAACTGTTTTAAGGGGAAAATGTGTTTGAGAATTCAGACAGATTGAAAAGATTGGAAATGCAATTTAGAACATAGAAGAGGCATACCCCATTTACAAAAGGGAGCCATTTAGGTCCCTTGATGTGATTCTGAAGGAAAGGGATCCCTGAAAACAGAAAAACATGAGAGATGAGTGTGCAAAACCAAAAAAATAATCAATGAAAACAAAAGTAGCCCAATAATACCAGTGTTAAAGCCATGTACTGCACTAAGCATTCCCCCGATACCAGAACCAACCTATTTGCAAACAAATACAATGTGAAATTAGCCACGTAAAAAAACAACCCCCACTCCAACACATACAAAAAAAAAATGCAACACGTGACATTATAATCAACAGTCTTTCTGCACATTATAAAATTAGAGTCTTTATAATTACGATCCACAGTTTCTCATTCAAAACATTAAACTTTTAGAACAAATTTTCAATTTGGGGGATCTTTCCATACTCCTTTGAGTCATTCTTGAAAGGCATAAGAGTCTAAATGTCCAATGATTTCATACTATGATCTAGAGCAAGAAGCATCTGAATAAGCCAGACTGAAAGTACCATACTTTTTTACCACAATCAAAATACATAGATCTTTGGAAAGAGGCAGTATTAGAATACTGAATTAATACACGTACTTTAAATTTGAAGTGTCCCCCAACATATCAAGATCACATATATGAACAATGATAACTAGATGATAGCATTTGAACGATTCAGTTACCTAAGCAAAAAAAAAAATCAAGCTTCAAAAGGCATATCCCAGAATGCGGGTGGGCATCAAATATAGCTATATATGTGTGTTTGTGTGTGTGCGCGCGTGTGGAGCAAGGATAAAATCCTATTGGACATAAAATGGTTAAAGCATTGTGAAACTTGCTAACTAGTATAAGCTAGGATAAAAATAGCTGTGGGAACTCAGCTAAAGTTTACAGTTTTCCAGGATGAAAGTAAAGACCCATAAAACTTTATACATGAAAGTAGCCCCAAACTACAAATTAGAACGTTGGGGTTTATTGATTTACGTCTCATCCATGTTTTTATTCGTTGTTTTCGTTTGCAAATAAAACAAAAGGAGGGAGAAAGGGAACCAACCACTGCAGTGGCATCATGTAAAACAGAAGTAATTGTCCATTCAGCTTTATCCTGCAAAAAAAATTACAAGTCAATAAAAGCAAAAGGCAGTGTTCAAGGAAGCAGGGAGAGAAGAAGAAGAAGAAGAAGGGATTACAGAATCAGGGTTTAAGAGAGAGAGGCAACGAGGGCAACGAGCGGAGCCTAAGCCAGGGTTGATGGTTGGGTCATGGTACAGGTTCCCATTCCTTAGCTTCTCCTCATACACTTCTCTTGTCCCCATTCTTCCAATCACCCACACCCCCTGTTCCTCGAAATCTAACGATTTCGGCTCCCAACCAACTTAAATATCGGAAAACCCAGAAGCCCAAGTCTTTTGAACTCTCCTTGTTGTATTTGTATTGAATTAAATACTCGATATTTGGGCCGAACATAACCTGTTTTCATTGAACACTGATTTGGATTCCTTGGATCGGGCTACAGAAAAGAAAGGTAAATTATGAGATCAATTCTATTTTAATAGTGGATAAACTGCATATTTAATCAACTATTACTTTAGTTCCGTTTTAGTCATCTAATTAACTTTTTTTAAAATTATATCTAAAATTATATTTTGATCATCCGCAGTTAAAAAATAAACAGTATTGTTAAAGTAATATTTTTTTTATTTTTTTAATGATGATGTGGTATTTTCTTATGATGACACGTCAACATCACTGCTATTTTTTAATGGTGAGCGACTAAAATAGAACCAAAACATAATATTAGGTATGATTTTAAAAAAAATAATTGGATGACCAAACAAAGCCAAAATGATAATTAGATGACTAAATATAAAGTTTACCCTTTAATAATTGAACAAAACAATTTTTTAATTAAATCATTAAACTTAACCTAAAAGAAAAATAAAAGAATATAAAATAAAGTTCATAAAATCTACTCAAACCGGGAGATGATGAACAACGTCTCCTTACTTTGGACCAAACGATCAACCTACGTATAAAAATAATTACACACTAAATATAAACTTAATGAGACATAAATAATATTATACAATACAATATAGCAATGTAATACATATCATAACATGAATATGTAGAAGCATAATTCTACATATCAGTTATTCAATTCAATAATAAACTTGTAACTATTTGTTTAACGGTAATGAGTTTTCTGCATTAATTATATATCATCACGAAAATGTTAAGCTTAAAAGTTTAACTTAACAACCTGTAATTTTTCAATTTATCTTATAACATAGCCTAAAGTATTTAAATCAGGATACAAGTATGAGAGTCAATATTGGTACACTTGAAGTGCAACAACAACAACAACAAAACCCAATTCCCATATGTATGGGGTAAGGGGGAGGTAGGGTAGTAGGCTGCTCCCAACACCAGGTTGAGAGTAGCTTCCGTGGAAGACCTCCGGCAGTCAGAAAATTAAAAATATAGATAAAATGCAGTGCATATATAAATAAATACATAGCTAAACAATATTCATATGCAGTCATTAAAATCATATGTGCGTCTGTAACGGGAATTAATCCCTGCATAATAATCCCTGCGAAAGAATCTCTGCATATAGACAGAAACATAAGACCCGGCTAAATTTAAAAGAGGAAACATGAAGAGAATGATACACAGAAGTCAACGATAGCAAGCGCAGTTCTAATCCTTCATAAATACCAATAACAGAAACATATAAAAAGTAGAAGTCATGGAAAATACTACAAAGACATTAAAAGAAGACAGAGATGATACACCCTATAGATGTGACCCACACTACTCGACTACCCTAGTCTTTAGCCTCCATATTTTCCTATCAGAGGTCATGTCTTCGGTAAGGGCTAAATCCCTCAAATCAGATCTCAAGCAGTCTTCCCACTTCCGCCTTGGTCGTCCTTTCCTTCTGGCACCGTCGACTGTAATCGATTCTACCCTCCTGACCGCATCCGACGGTAGTCGTCTAAGGACATGCCCAAACCACCGTAGTCTTTCCTCCCTCAATTTTTCGGAAACAGACACCACCCCCAAGGACATCCTAATAGCAGAGTTAGTCGTCATATCCCATAGAGTCCTACCACATGTCCACCGAATCTCATACATATAAAGGAACTATCAACACATATGTACCTGTGTATCAATACTCGTATATATAAAAGTACCATCAACACATACATACTAATTAAACTCTATGACATGCCAACTATACTAGGACTCTCAATGCAAGAAACATGTCATTAAGTAATTTATCAAAGTAATATCATATTATAATATATAAGGTTGTCTTGTCACAAATCTTTCCTATCATATATAAATAACAAATAATATGTAATGTACTCACCTTGACACTCTATACATTAATCAAAAAATAGTTTTCATAAAAGCTTTGAACTTTTTCTTTTTCTTTTTCCTTTCCTTTCTTGCTTACTTCATCTTGATTTCGCTTGAACGCTTCAAACACATTAATTACATAACAAATAAAATCAAAGATGCATGTTACAATCTTGTAACACCCCTAAAATTGGTCTAGCAATTTTTCACTTTTGATGGTTGATTTTTTTTCGATATTGAATCAAGCTTTCAAATAAATAAGTTCAATTTTAGAATAAACCCTAAATTAATTATATAACCCCTAGACCCGACCTATGCGTTACAACCAGATCTAGCATATTACGATAAAAATTTTCCAAAAAATTTTCCAAAATATTTTTTGATAACTTCAAATCCAAATTATAATTAAGCATCTTTAATAATATAATTAATAGCATCGAAGTTTAAATTCGGTAAATTTAAGTAGTAATACTATGTAAAATAAAATATTTCATAATTAGTATCGAAGCAAATCTAACATCAGTAACAAAAACAATATGAGTCATAATCCAATACTTTCAAAATATAGGCACATGCCACCCAAATTAAAGGCAAATCGGAAGATAAAAACATTACAACAAAAGGTACAGTATGAATGTGTCGATCCTCCAAATTCCAGTACTGGTCGCCTATAAAAAATTATCTGAAAGAGAAAAATTTGGGGGTGTTAGCTGGGGAGCTCAATGTGTTCCAACAGTGCAGAACTAAAACATACAATTTAGATTTCAAAACCAATTCATCAATAAAGTCATGAAACGTCGGTAGAAGTTTCAAAATCAGTTCAGTTCCAAATTGTGAAAACATCAGTAGTGTTTTTAGTTTAAAATTTCAAAATCACCCTCCAATCGAACACCATATGCAGTTCCCCAGAACTGCATCTATAAGGACTTACCAATGTAGAATGCTAAAATGGTACTGATACCATATACGATATCGATACTACTTTGTGTAGTAGTATCGATACTCTTAGTTATGGTACCGATACTACTCCTTTGGTTTTGAGTCCATGAAATTCCAGTATACTGAAATGGTATCGATACTATGTACAATATCGTTACTACATAATATAGTAGTACAAATACCCTTGTGACAGTATCGATACCGATGTTTCTCAACAGTCAAATTTTTGTATTTAATGCAGAGAGTATCGATATTGATAGATATAGTACCGATACTACAAGCTAATAAACATCATTTAATGTGGGAAACTGCCCCCAACGGCTATATTCACTCCCACAACAACTCAAACGATTGGAATTGATTGAGAGAGTATATAAACAAGATCCCAAGCCATTTGTGATGATAATAAACAAAAATAGAAAGTCAAAAACATCAAGTTTGAGCTTAATCAAGTCAACATTATTTAATATTCATTTTGCTTTCAAATAACACTTCTTGAATTTATTTGTATTCATTTCTCAAGTGTTCTTATTTGTTCTTGAATTATGCAAACACATTCCTTGTGAGGTTTTTTTTTATAAGTTTGCATTTTGTAATTTTTCTCTTTGAGTGTGTGTCTCAAGAATTTAGGGTATAATTCTTGAGGGTGGTTTAAGGTTACACCTTATCCTCAAAGGTAGATACAAATTAGTGAATTTGTGAAAACACCTTAGTATGGATAGCTAAGATAGTGGAGGTAGATTTTTGTTGATAAAGTCGAACCACTCTAAATTTTTGTGCTCATTTGTTTAATTTTTCCTCTTAAGCTTCCACCAAATTTTTAATTGCCAATTCACCCCCTCTTGGATATTTTATCCTTTCGATTGACTTAACAATTGGTATCAGAGCTAGACTCATTGGAATGTTTAACCACCTCTTGAGATGATCCTAAAGGAGTTCAATCATCATAGAAGTCATCCATGGCCTCTACATCAAATTTCGAAATTGTTTGTGACTCTCAACCCATTAATAAATCTCCATACTTCAATGGAGCCAACTATGCCTATTGGAATAATAGGATGAAACTCTTTATTTAAACAAGTGATTTGGGAGCATAGAGCATCATGATGAAAGGTCACTCACTATAACTAGTGATATAGAGATGTGGAGTGAAGAAGAAAAAAGATTATTAAAACTCAATGCAAATGCAATGCATATTCTGTTTTTTGCACTTGGTTCTGATGAATATGGGAGAGTATCATCTTGTTTCAATGCCAGGGAGATATGGGATAAACTTGAAGTTACTCATGAAGGAACAAATGAGCTAAGATAAACTAAAATTAGTCTTCTCAATCATAATTACGAAAACTTCAAGATGAGACCGGATGAAGACATAAAATCCATGACCGATCGATTTTCGGTTATTATAAATGGTCTCAAAGGCTTTGGAGAAAATATTCCAAATGAAAAGCTAGTTATAAAGATAATCTATAACCTTCCCAAGTCATGGAAAATAAAGAAGACCACCATAGTTGAAGCAAAGAATCTAAAGACTCTCACCTTGGATGAGCTCATTGGATCCTTGCTTACCTATGAAATGATGGTAAAGGAAGAAGAAGATCAATAAAACAAAGATGACTAAAATAAGGAAATAGAAAAGAAGAAAAAGATTGGAGTTGCTCTCAAATCCACCAAAGATGAGAGTGACTCAAATGATGAAGATGAGGATGAAGAAATGACAATGTTTGCCAAAATATTAATGAAGTCCAACAAATGAAGAAGATTTCAAGGAAAAGAAAGCTTCAAGAATGAATCCAATGAGAAGGATCCCATAATTTGCTATGAGTGTAAAAAGTCAGGGCATGTTAAATTTGACTGCCCATAATTAAAGAAGAAGGAATCTTTCAATAAGAAGCACAAGGCACATATAGCTACATGGAGTGATGATGAGTCATCCAACGAAAAGGAGAAAGAGGTAGCCAACTTGTGTCTCATGGCCATTAAGGGATAATCTAAGGTAACCTCTAACTCATCTACATTAAATGAATATTCCTTTGGTGAGTTTCAAGAGGCTTATGATGGTTGGCCTCGGAATTTGAGATCATGATTTCAAAACATAATAAAAATATATCAAAATTG